GATCGCTCTGTAGGTAATACTCCAAGCGCAGTCGGTGAGTCTTGAAAATAATATGTCCTTCTTTCTGTGTTCCAAAGTCCATTGTAGGTTCATCCATCATGAGTGAGAAATATGAAATCTTATGCATGCTACTTTTAAGAATTCGTTCTAAGTTCAAACCTCAAAAACCCGTTTTGCTTATGGCACAGGTTTATTCACCGCTGACCAACACCTCGGAGATGATCGGTCGTTTTACACACGTCAAAACACTGGTGGAACTATATATGGCTTTGAAATCCCCGAGGAACGTGATTATTTTCCCTACTGGGGCCCCACCCCGTGGAAGGACATTGCTATCATGGTCAGCGATAAAAAGACCGAGGATTTGATGAAGAAATACGTCAACAGTACTCATTATGGACATAAATGTGAGTTTTACTTTTAAGCTTTTTGTCATGTCAATACCATTGCTTGTTGTCGCCTCTATTTTTATCGTTGGTCCTGTTTGCAGCTGATGTGTTAATCAGTTCTACTCCATTTTGTCGTCTCGAAGCCTTTTGTTGCCAACTGAATAACAGTTTCAATAAAATTCATAATACAGAAGTCTTCTGACTGTTTGGTCAGTGCGACGAATATAGCTGACTGAAAAGAATCAAGGGAGCTGTTTGACTATAGCTGTGGTGAAAAAAATTGGAAGTTTAATTGAAAAAACACTGCAATGAACCAGATAAGTGTTACAAAATTACGAAGCCTTTGACTTATTATACCTTGACCGTGTAAGTTTGCCTGAGACCGTTTAAGCAGTCGTGTTAAAAATTCTGTTTCCAGCAGTCAATCGGTCAGAAAAACATGAAACACACGGTATCGATACGGAATCATATTTCGATTGGTTTACGTTACTTTTTCCACGCTGACCACCGGTTTCACTTTCTATCAAGTGTTCTGATTGGTTCAGTACACAATTTGTGTTATTGTGATTGCTGTAATAGGCCATATCCGAGTTACCTAGTGCCTCTGTTTCAAAACGAGTTCTTCGTGCGTACCATTTCATATGAAAGAGAGTTTAATTTGCATTACAATGAACATGTAGGCGAAAACGTTTTCTCTTGAAGACTCGTTTTGACCCGGAGGCAAAAGGCAACTAGGAAGTGGCCTATTGATTATGCTGACATCAGGGAGTTTAAGTAACTACGACGGCGACATCGAGGACAACGTCGATTAAAAAGTGAATTTACATTTTACCTTCGAATCTCGCGATACTCGAAAGTCATTTACTTTGTTTCTCTTAGTCAAAACTATCTCGAAACCGAAGAAGGAACACAGCGTAAAATTCGAAATATAACTTTTAAAAATTATCCGTCCTGGTCCACGTTCTCTACACAACGTAAAAGCTGGTCATTTCACGTTGCTGTTTTGCAGAGGACGGCAGAGAAAGGTACCAAGAATTACAACGCACGTGTACAGCCATTGTTCTGCTCATTAAATTTTTTGTTGAAGCCTGGTTCACACTTGTGAGATAAGCATAACTCTAGTGAAATAAACACATGCGCAGGTACAAGAAAAATCGAACATGTTTCTTTTTCTTGTGCTTGTGCTTATTTCACTAGTGTTAACCTTATCTCACAAGAGGCAACCTGGTTATTTCACCAGTGCTATGCTTATCCCACAAGTGTGAACCAGGCTTTCCCGTTACCGTTCGCGTTGTAGTTTTCTTAAACTCCCTATTACATGTAGTTTCAGTCATTAGTTTTTTCTTCAACCTTTCTTTTACAGACATGTGTGTTATGCCAAACAATTTAGAAGGTATCACCTGTCCACCACCCAACGGACAGGATAATCCCGCCTTCCAGTGCATCGCTAAATACATCACCGCAGAGTCCTGTAAAGCCGCCGGAGGAACCTGGACAAAATTCATTACTAACTACTTGGAAAAAACTTCCGGAGTGTTGAGCACCTGCCATGATGTGGGAGAAATGAAGCTGGCAAGAGGTATACCGTACGACGCACACAAGATCTCACAAGGAGCTGATAACAAGTTACAGTATGTTCTCCTTCATAAACCCCCTGATGTGATCTACGCCCCATCTACTGTGGTCAACCACAACGGAATGAGCATGGAGGGAAATTTTTCGACGTACAAGTGGAAGGTTCCTTGCTTTCCGTCCAACACCACACAGCGTTGTGTGTTGCGGTTGAGGTAAGGCAGATAAGCGTCACCCTCTTCAGTTTCAACCGTAATCAAACTTTAATTCTCTCTCTCTCTCTCTCGCAGTCTCAAGTTTTAAGCTCGTCGAAGTCACGTGTTTTTTAAAGTTGACTACTCTTAAATTGTAGAGTGATGTAGTTGCTACTCTATCTAATGACTGATAATATGTTGATTTCCTGTCTTTGAAAACTATGCACACTGCGCACTTGTTCAGTGTCTCAAGTTCTCAAGCGATGTTGCCGTTGCCGTTTTGGTTTTCTTAAACTCCCTTTTAAGATCGCAGTGAAAGTACCGTTAACATTTTCCAACACTTACACCTCTCCTATCCAGTTCGTCCTCCAATTAGAACCAATTAAAGAGGCTAGCTATTGTTTAAGTATCTGTCATGTCTTGAAAGGGCTAATTTCACAAGAGAAGCCAAACGGTATGCAAGACTTCGGGCACAGATTCTCTTGAGTACGGACCTCTCAGCTGGTAAATAACATATATATATATATATATCTTTTTCACAGATACAATATCACCACTGACGACGTTCCACGCGAGTTTGATGCCAGCAACAATAATGAGTAAGTCACGGTTTATGTTAGTCAGTGAAAAAGCGGAGATGGCAAAACATCNAACAAGTTACAGTATGTTCTCCTTCACAAACCCCCGGATGTGATCTACGCCCCATCCACCGTCGTTAACCACAATGGAATGAGCATGGAGGGAAATTTTTCGACGTACAAGTGGAAGGTTCCTTGCTTCCCGTCCAACACGACACAGCGTTGTGTGTTGCGGTTGAGGTGAATCAAACTTCAATTCTTTCCACCAACGGTCTAACATTTCCTTTTTATTCTAGTCGCGAGATTTCTTCACATCAACCACCATACTGGGTACCCGAAAACCCTACCTCAATGAAATCAGCTAAACACACTTCTTCGAAATCGTTCAAAATTGCAGTGAAAGTAAAACATTTTCCAACACCTGCTCCATTCTTATCCTGTTAATTTCCCAAATAGTACCGATGAAAGAAGCTAGCTATTATTTTAGTATCTGTCATGTCTTGAAAGGTCTAATTGCACAAGAGAGGCCAAACGGTGTGCGAAACCTCAGGCACAATTTCTCCCATAATGAACCTCTCCGCTAGTAAATAACACATACATATTTTTCACAGATACAACATCACCACTGATGACGTTCCACGCGAGTTTAATGCCAGCAACAATAATGAGTAAGTCACGGTTTATGTTATAGTCAATAAAGTGGTAGAGATGGCATAACATTGACAACATCATATCCCATAATTGAGGATTTTCGTAATATATATATATATATATCAGTAAAAACTCAAGAGCTAGGTTATATGGTCATTATGGTTATATAACTTAGCTCTTGAGTTTTTACTGTTATTCACCGCTCTAGTTCAGCTATTGAGCACTTTGTAGTGCTATGTATCTATCTATATCTATATCTATATCTATCTATCTATCTATCTATCTATCTATCTATCTATATATATGTGTGTGTGTGTGTGTGTGTGTGAATCTATTTTCACGAGTAAACCTGGAGAAAACCGTTGCAATACTCCCCACGGGAACTGTTCACGGAAGCCCGTCACCCATTACCTGACCATGACTCGCGTCTCTGAGTTCCTAGAACTTTGAAAGTACCACAGCTATTTATTTTTGCTTTCGCAGCATTACGCCTAATCCAGTAACGAAAGCCGTTGACAACACAACCGATCTCCAACTCGCTTTGAACACGGCACAGGTCGGACGAACATTCCAGGACAGAAGTCATGTCTTCATTTTAAAACCACGAAATCATCTGCCTCTGAAATATCAGCATTCCAACATCTACTACATTGGAGGAATGGGAAAGAGAGGAAACATCGTACAGACTTACCCGGCCATGGAATATCGCTTCACTCCTGAACGTACTACAGTTACGACAGAGGATGTGTTGTGTTTTGTTTGGTCAGGTGAGAAAAAATATTTAAATGCAGATTAGTGCCAGTTACTGATTACCGTTTAAGTTTAAGATATTTCTCACCCCTTCTCCCTCCCTCAAGCCCCCCCCCCTGTTTCAGTAAGATCCTAGTCAAAACTCTGTGAACTTGGTGAAATGCAAACCTTAATGTGCTTTCCCCTCTCTAGTTAGGTCCAACGCCAGACAATTTTTTGTAAGCTAAGGGTTCATCGTTATTCCATTTCAGGTTACAAGAAATATAACACTGACAGTTCTATTGTTAATTTCACATTTTAGGTTCCAACAACAATCCGTCACACTATGCTGGACAAGGACAACATAGTAAGAATCCCGAGGGGTGAAGGTCTCAAATATAAAAGGGCAACGATGCTCGTCAGAAAATTTGATTTAAACCCATAAAGGAGAGCGACCTGGGCGTGGCTGGAGCTTTCTTTGACCCCTTTAAGACAGACAGACACGAAGAGGCTACAATGGCCTATGAGAAAAATAGTAACGCTTCGTCTTAACTATAACCTCTCATCGGGCTAGTTTTCACTGTCTTCATTAACTATTAACTCTCATCGGGGGAGAGATTCTCAGGTTTCATAAAATCCTCAGACCTTCAACACATCCGATGACTATATGAGATTATGTAATAATATTGCATAATCTGACAAAAAGACTTGTTGGAAAATTGGATTTTTTACCCACCAATATGGGCGTGGCTTGAACTTTATTTGACCCTTAAAAACAGACAGACACAAACCCTAAAATATAAATAGTGGCGTTCCGTCCTAAAGACCCAAAGCGAGATCAAAATCCGTGATTTACACCCCTAAGATAGATGACGGGCATCCCCGTCCATTCAGCATGTGACCCTCCACCCCTGTACGCCCCCACCCCGGGATATTGAAATAACTATTGAGAAAGTATTGTATTTGTGCAACTATCAAAGTAAGGGGTGTTTCCTCTGTGGAAAAGTTCGCTGTCCCTTGCAAAATCGAAAGAGTCAGGTAATGTAAATCTTATTTATAGTGGGTCATGCAGTTAGCTATACAAGCACTAAGCTTAGCTAGTTTACAGGCATGCCACTGAAACAAAGGAAACAAAATATTTTAAACAAACGTAACATAGTAAAAAATCTGAACTGGCAGGAGGCGCGCCAGTTGGCTATTTACAAAGCGTGACCGTAGATTTGAGCTCGGGACTACCGAGAAACAAATCCCGCTAGTGGCAGGGTGGAGACCTTGAACCCGGGACCTCCGGATTATAAAACCAGCGCCCTAAACCACTCGGCCGCGTTGCTTCCAGAGTAATCAAAGAGAAGAGAGGAAAAAGGAATGCTAATATACAATTTGAAATTGGTTGATCTTCGTCTCAGGTACTGATCGCACCAACGTTTGTTGGGTAAAGGAAGGGTGCAGCTATCTCAAACCAAAAACATGCTCCAGCCTCCCTCTCGAAGTCGTCGACCATGTTGATGAATTCGATGCTCACAAGTTGAATCTTCATCTCAACACGGGATGTTTCACGGGGCAAGTGCAACATCACGGTCAGGCCACTCTTCAGAGTCAACTGGACAACGCCCCAGCCTCCTGCAACCCGCCATGTTTCCGCATCACGAAGCCTGGGGAGTACTGCTATATGAGCACGCGCAACAACAACTTCTCCAACCGACGTCACATCGGCAAGATCACTGTTACCGAGGCTGCCAAGTGATCTGCATGTCTGCAGTTGAAATCATTTGTTTCTTGAGGGTTCATGTAGTTTTAGGTTTTAAGCTGTGGGATTATTGCTTTTGAACTAATACAAGCCTAAGGAATCTTGTTTGTAGCACTCTGCATGTTTGGAGTTGAAATCTTTCATTGCTTGAGGGTATATGGAGTAAATTAAAGCCCGGTTTTTAGTTATGGGTTTTGTCATTAGACTAAGGAATCTTATTTGTAGTACTCTGCATGTTTGGAGCTGAAATCATTTCTTTCTTGAGGGTGTATGTAGTATAGGATTTTAAGCTGTGGCATTATTGTTTTTAAACTAATACAAGCCTAAGGAATCTTGTTTGTAGCAATCTGCATGTTTGGAGTCGAAATTGTTCATTGCCGGGTGTATGGAGTGAAACCCAGATTTTAGCTGTGGGTATTTGTCATTAAATTAAGGAATCTTGTTTGTAGTACTTTGCATGTCTGGAGATGATCGTTCATTGCTTATAAGGGTGTATGTGGTGTAGGAGTTTTAACTGAAGGGTTGTTGGGGGTTGTTGCTATAAAACTAATAGAAGCCTAAGGAATCTTCCATTTAGTACTCTGCATGTATCGGGTTGAAAGAGGGTTTATGTAGCAAAGCCGGGTTTTTAACTGTGGGGTTTTTGTCATTAAACTATAGAAGCCTAAGGAATCTTTTATTTAGTACTCTGCATGTATAGGATTGAAAGAGGGTTTATGTAGAAAAGCCGGGTCTTTAACAGTGGGGTTTTGTCATTAAACTTATATGCAAGCTTAAGGATTTTGTTTGTAGTACTCTGCATGTCGGGAGTTGAAATCGGTTATTGTTTATAAGGGTGTATGTAGTAAAGCCGGGTTTTTAATTGTGGGATTTTTGTCATTAAACTATAAAAACCTAAGGAATCTTCTATTTAGTGCTCTGCAGGTGTGGGGTTGAAAGAGAATTTATGTAGTAAAGCCGGGTTTTTAACTGTGGGGTTTTTGTCATTAAACTATAGAAGCCTAAGGAATCTTGTTTATCATGTATGGGGTTGAAAGAGAGTTAATGTAGTAAAGCCGCATTTTTAACTGTGGGTTTTTGTCATTAAACTTATACAAGCCCAACGAATCATTTTTGTAGTACTCTGCGTATATGGAATTGAAATCGTTCATTTCTTAAGGGTGTATGTAGTACAGAATGTTTAACTGTGGATTGCTACAATTAAGTGAAAACAAGCCTAAGGAAACTTGTACTGTTTATGGATTGGGGAATAAAGAAAACTTGCGGGATATTGAGTTTGTGTATTTTCTTTCAACAAATATTTGTCCTTTTAGCGACATTGCCGTTGTCATATCCTTTAGTGAATGTATCACCTATTTCTCCTCTGACATTTGCAAGATTGCCTCGACCAAATAATAATTGTGAGCAAAGAGCGATCTCCTATAGTGACACACACCCTAATGAAGTGACATTTCCTTTCCCTCCTACTTGAAGTAATCCCAAGACACGACTCTTTCTGGCGCTGGTCAAAATTCAAAGTCTGCTGGCTGACGTTATCCTCATCCCAAGGTGCTTTGCAGCTGAGTTGAGCCCGCGAACCTGACGGCGCGGGGGTGGGGGCGGGGGGAATCGTCGTACCTTTTAGGGGTTAAAAAGCAGATTTGGTGCCTCTTAGGGTGTTCACTTTCAAAAGGTCCCACAGGGTCCCACAGGGTCCCACAGGGTCCCACAGCAGTATCCGCGGTATCCGCCGCTGCGGGTATTGAGCCCAAAACTGTCAGTGTCAGTTAAGTGTTGCTCTAGAATTGGTACCTCTTGCGGTGTAAAAAATTTCAAGCCACGCCCACAAAACAGGGTCTTGGCACCTCTTAGGGGTTTTATTCAAAATTTTCTTCGAACACTCCCTTCCCGGAGAGATAGCGGTAAAGGCACACCTTTGTTCTCCCTAGCGAGCACAGTTTGGCCGCTCGAAATCCAACACATAACAGACCGCCACTGCGACCGGTTGCACTAGCTTATCAGATCTTATCAGACTGCTCGAACCACTTCGCCATGATGCTTATTACAGCGTGCTCAACAACTTATCTTTGAATTGAATAAGGCGTGATTTCTGGATAGGGAATTCTGTGCCAAAACAAAACTACACATGAAATGAAAACAGATTTCGCTTAGATTCGCCAGGGGTCATTATGGCTTCGGCCCTGATAGAACCAAAAGCGCCGCGTCTGTTTTCCTCTGACAGAATGATCAACACGGCTAAGGTCTCGGTCAGCTCCTGTTTCTGTTGTCTGTAGTGAATGCCAGTATCCGGTATATGCAAACGATGCATTGTTTTTCAGTTGCTCTAGGGCAGCGAGTAAATGATTTTCTCTAAGCTTAGTCGTTTATCCTTTTGTGAAAAGTTGGTTACAAATTAATGATTATGAAAATTGAACTAACTTTACGGTTGAAGTGCTGGTCACTTTTCACTCTACTCAAATCAGATTTCTTAGTACTGGAATTTCTAATTTCTTTTGTTCAAATCTAGAAAATAAATACAAATTCCTAGTGTCTACATATCGTTTTGTTAATTATTCATGCACCTCATTAAAAACAGGAGTGACCTCGTCCCTAAAAAACTAAATGCCAGTGTTTAGCCTTTACAGGTAGAGCAGCAGCATATTTCTTATCATACTGTACCTGATGTAATCTAATGTAATCAAAATCTTCCATGTAAATTGTTTCCCCGAGCCAACAAAGATAATTGTTGTATTGTTGTTAGTAAGTTGTCGAGAAAAGTAGGTGCATACTGAGCTTGCGTGGAACAGTGGGCTTGGGCAGCTGTTAAGGATCTGGGGTAAAACAGAAATACTGTTCTATTAGGAAAAAATGTTTCCCCGTATAAACAGACCCTCGCTCTTCTCTTGCGATGGCAAAGGAAATGCGAATGAAAAACAAAAGTTCACTATTACAATAATTCACTCAATTTGTACAAATCAGTTTCTTTGTTTATCTTCAACAAGTCGTTAGAAAATGTTTCTAGCACCTTAACTGATGTGAGTGCCCCATTTAAGACGACAATTCCGTCTTGTTACCGTGATTACAGTCTCCCAAAAACATTGACAGTGTGAAAAATGGCTTATAATTGAATGAAAATCTAATCTAAGCTGCATACAGATGGTTCATTCTTTAGCGATATTAACCGCTGTCATGGTGTTTGTGGAAGAGTCGTGTGTGAAATGGAGATGCCTGCTCTCGCCACCTACAAGAAATTAGATAAAAAAGATGAACTTTTTATTGTTCCCTTTTTCAAGCAATTATTACTGAAGAGACTAGTCATTCAGTGAGCAAGTGTTTGGCCAGGGACGTAGCCGGGATTTTTTTTAAAAGGGGAGGGTGTGGGGGTCACATTGTGTCAAAGTGAGGGTACTCACCAGATTGTCATGTCGACCTCCACAACTGTTGTAAGTTATTTACTTAAAAAAAGGCTCACGAAGGAGGGGCGGGGGCGGGGGGG